CAAGTGGCACAGCCAGCTGGGCACACAACTCTGATATGCAGATCATAACGTTTGTGAACAGATAAAATGAATTACAATGAGCAGAGCCTATCATATTTCAAATCTCTAATGGGCAGGAAGGTCTCTCTTTTATACCCACATACTGTCCAAAAGCCTCCTCTTATAGTCCATTTGAGGCCATTTAAGCACCTCAAGAATCTGTACACATCTCATTAGTGAACAGCTCTGGAAGCCAACTTTGTAAAACTATAATTATCCTAAGGACAAGGTAGGGTAGTAACTATATAACAAAAATAATATTAACCACTAATATATAAAATATTCAAATATATATTTCATTTTGATAATCACTAGACCAATAAATATTAATATTCTATTTTACAGATGAGGAAATTGAGGTATGGGGAGGTCAAGTCATTTGCCCAGGTAAAGCCAAGAGTCTTACCTGGGTCTAGTATCCACTAATATGAGACTGAGAACTTCACAAGAAATAAATGGATATGGTGATTCGTTACCAAATCACTACCCAAAAGCAAGGAAAATTGAAGAAAACCCACAGCTGCCATGTGACATTCAAAAGCTACAACTGGTGACCTGTGCATCATGCAGAGAGATATAGCAGTTGGTAAGTTCCAGTTTTGGTTTTCTAAGGCAATAATGGTAAGAAAAGCTATCCTGGATAATCAATAACTCTCATTTTGGGAAAAGCAGCCTACAGCACTAGCTCCTTAATACCTACCATGCTCTGACTGAGTTCCTGACAGCAATACCACTGCCTCTACCAGAACGCCAATTACACCTTCTGCTGTTGGAGCAGCAGCAATTCTTAACACCACCAAGTATATACTATTTTAATAGTAACACCCCAATACTAGCAATCTAAACAACCAAACCTAAACAGCTGGTTTAAGAATGTCATCCAGCCAAAACCGGTTTGGCTCAGTGGATAGAGCTTCGGCCTGCAGACTGAAAGGTCCCAGGTTCGATTCCGGTCAAGGGCATGTACCTGGGTTGCGGGCACGTCCCCAGTAGGAGATGTGCAGGAGGCAGCTGATCGATGTTTCTCTCTCATCGATGTTTCTAACTCTCTATCTCTCTCCCTTCCTCTCTGTAAAAAATCAATAAAATATATTTAAAAAAAAAAAAGAATGTCATCCATACACCCACCCAGCAACTCCTCCCACATGTTAATCACTACGTGCAAAGCACTGAGCTAACCCCCTAACACTCTCTTCTCACCTACAGCAGTTCTCCAAAGCTAAGAGATGTCCAGTGTTCTACCTCCCACAAAAAATCATGCTCACAATATCAAAGCACAGAGCTCATGCCAATTATGATGAGATTTCCTGTTAAGCAAATTACAAAGCACCACTCATAAAACCATATGCATTTAGGGCAACAGTTCTTAACCCTGGCAGCATATCAGAGTCACAGGGAGCTTTAAAATAATGCCAATGCCTGGGCCTCATCCCAGGCCAATTAAATCATAATCATGGGAAGTTGAACCCAGCATGGATATTTTTTTAAAGCTTCTCAGGTGATTCCAAAGTGCAGCCAGGTTTGAAAACCACCAAATTAAGTATCGCTAGAGTGGTATTTCTGAAAACCTCTTGTCCCACAAATCTATAACATGGCACAACCACCACAAAGACTCCCTCTCCCATCCATTGCGCCTGCCATCTGGGCTGTATTAAAATGAAACATCAATAAAATGACCTCTTAAAATCTCGGTCTCATTATTTCTTTGTTTGTAGCAATGAAATACTAAACAAGAAAGTCACTCATGGCCCCCAAGCAGCCTCCAGGCCTCCTGCTGAGAACCAGAGCTGTATTATGATGCAGCGGTGAGGAGGTGGGTAAAGGCTCCTCACTCTCCTGCCGTTGAGTGTGGGGGACTGTGGAACTGGCCATGTCCAGGCAGGAAGCAGCCTCAGCGCCATAACCAGACGGAGGAAGCCTTCACAGTTCAGGCATGATTATCAAACTCTTTGTGCTCTTAAAGGAGAGTAATTATAGGCATGTGAAAAAAGAAAAGCACTCCCCGAGGAACTCTTCCTCACATGCTTCCCAAGAGGCACTAGGGCCATTAAAAATTCCATGATGAAGAGGAAAAACAGCCTGGGAACAGCCAGGAGGCAATACAGCAAATTAATACACCAGCCCTCCTCAGGGAAAGCTGTGATAAAACAGGAAACACTTCTCTCTCCGCCAAATAAAATTATACCACTAATGATAACATAGTCACCACACACACACAAATCGTTCTAATGATGGGTGTGAAATTCCCAGTGCTGCCCAGATGCTTTGAAAGAAATTTTTCCTACTACAGATAAAATGGAACAAGAAAGAGATAAAATTTCCATTAGAAACAGTTTTCTATTCATTCACCTGCCTCTTCCCTACCACCACTCTTTAACATTCGCCTTTCTAGGTGCCAAGCTCTGTTAAATCGTCCACTTTTCACAAATCCCACCATCCAGTTCTGAATCCAATCTCATCCCTCAGTCACACTGAAACTAGACTGCTGCTTCTCTACTGAGCCCTTGCTGGGTAGGAACCCCACTATTTCAAAGGAACGAGAGGGAGCCCCAGGGGCTCAGTGTCCATCATCCACATTTTCTAAAAACTGCACAGAGATCACTTGTGCCGACCATTCCCATAGATTAGTGGTCATCGAACTTTATTAAGTGTGCACCCTCATGAGTAAAAAATTTGAACAAACACACCATATATATGTAATACATGGCACTGTATGGAAGAAATAGCCACAAGAGGACAATTATGTGCCACTAGACTACATATGAACAATTTAATACAAAAAATTAAATTTAAGAAAATAAATTTATGTTTAAACACTTTACCTTCCCCTTCTCCCAAAAAACCTCATACAGTCAACTCACTTTGTATCCACTACCCTAGAAATGATGTCTAGAAGGACAAGCTATGAGCTATCATTGTCCACATTCTCTCCCCTTGCTTTTAGCCATGGTAGAGAGCAATAAGCAACATTTCCCTAGAGCTGAGTGCACCAGAAGCATAACCTAGACATCGCTATGTTTCCAAGTCTAGCTACAAGCACTGCCAGCAAGAGAATGAAAATAATGATATGGATGATGATACACACAAAGAAACAAGAAGTTGACACTCACTCCAGGGGGATGAGGTTTTAAAGGCAACAGCAAGCCTGATAAAAGCATGGATACTGAGCACAGTACAGCTCTAGGTAGCAGCAGAGGTAAAGGAAAGAAGGCTAATAATCCACTTTCAGCATCTGACATGATACAGTGCTTCTTACAGTCTTAGCAAAAAGTATACATGGCCATTATTTTATTTGGTATCAAGACAAAAGCTTGAGGATTGCTCACTTAGGGATTGAAATTTTGTGTCTTCCAAGATAGTTTGCACACACCACCTCCAAGAAAACCTCCCTGAGCCTCTAAGTTGAAGCCCCTCCTCTGTGCTTCATATCAATGTCGTGCACACCTTTATGCACTTATCAATCCATATTGCAATTGTCAATTTCCACACCTGACTTTCCCATGAAAATAGGAGCTCCTTAAGGTATTACCTAAGCAAAGACCCTGCCACATAGTAGGGTGTCAGCAAATGTTGAATGAATGAATGATGAATAAATTGCAATCTACTGAAGAAAAGGCCGTAGAGTAGTTTATCATCGTCCCACAATTTTCCACTTTCCTAGTAACACCATTTGTGATAGTCTCTCTTTTCAAAAGACTTTCCCCATTTAAATACTACTTCTCCTAGAAGGTCTGGCAGCAGTTTATGATACAGAGTTTATTGTTATAGCCCATAGTGGAAGTTCTACTTATATCCATGAAAGAATAACTTCTTTGTGTACTCTGTACCCCAAATGTTATGAACACATCCATTTAAGAACATATTAGGGGGGAAAATCATCAGAACCTTGGAAAGAAACTCACTGTGCTACTATAAACAGTAAAAGTCCTTTGGTTCAGCCTATTAACTGCTCTTTTGTACACATTAGTCCTGCTCGGAGATGCTACAATAAAAACCGTATTTACTTTCCATGTCACCTAACTTAAGAGAATTTATATTGAGAAGCGCTAAATTCATTCTACCATGTGGGCTCAGGATTCATTCTAACAAATGTATACTAAATGCCTAGCAAGTGCTAGACACTGCGTTAGATGCTGGGGATATATCAGGGAACAAGATAAGGTCCCTGCACTTGAGGTTTACATTCTAGTTGGGGGGGGGGGGGGCCCCAAAAAAAAAAACCAATTA